TTTTTCAAAAGAATGTAAAAAAAATCTGTACAAGAAACATCTCTCTTTCGTCTCATCAAATTCTTTGACAGCTGTGTCTTCTCTTCTTCAATGACTCAGGATTGCTTGCTTCTTCATGACTCATGAGTGAAGGAGTTAAAAACCAAAAATGAAAAATTAGTTTTGCATTTTTATTTAGTGAAGATGTAATTAATAATTACTCATCTCCATCCTCCACTGCTTTTCTCCATAACCGGTATCTTATTCCTAGCTTATCGTAAGATACAGGCATGTTCCACACATTTTCACCACTTATCATTCTATCTTGTTGCCCAAGTACAAGTCGTAGATCCTCATTTAGTACCTGAAACCAAATTTCATCTTTTATCAACACTTATCCTACTTTAAAACACAATACACAGTCAGTCTGTTCCCAATATGATTAAGAAGCATGAAGCATGCAAATATAATGTTACCTTATCTGCAAAATGCCTCCAGAGTATGTGCATGAAAGGGACATATTGCAAGATAGGAGCAAAATCAAGTGACATTCTGTATAACAGCCTTGTCTTCTTTCTTGATGATGGTAGGCATACATGTAGCTGATGGAGATGTGTTGAACACTGCTTTGTGCTTTGCCCCTCCAATTTTCCAGGTTTTGAAATCCCAATGGTTGATAATACCATACACGGGGGACGAAATTCCATATCTATTGGATACGGATCCCAATATCCTTCCATCGCTGATGTAGGCGTCAAAAATTTAACCAAACTGCAATAAATAAAAAATTACTAAAAATCAACTCTCCAAAAGGTTATATAGAAAATGTTAAAACCATTAATTAGGATGGGGGTATAATATATACCTTGGAACACTCCACCCTTTTGCAAATGTGGAAGTGTGGGTGAAGGGTGCATGTGCAAGATCCAAAAGGTTGTCTAAAAGTAGTCCGTGTTCCACTGGTAGTTCCATCACAATCTGTTTGTTGTTGTATATGAATTTGTTAAATAATATATTCATTTTTAAACAACCTACCAATTGGTTTTTCAACTTTAACTAAAATATAAAATACCTCAGCATGTATTTGGAAACCTTGAGGTGGTAGTAGTGAAGGAACTGTGGGTTCAGAAGGTTCATCACCTGGCCAGATCCATATCATTCCCTCCTTCTCAAAACATTCAAGTGCTTTTATTTTCACATTAACAAATTTTGTTGAAGGCATTTTTTCACACTTCCCATCTGCAGAGTACTCCCATCCTGGAAAATGAAACCAGATATTAATATACAATTTTATAATGATTACATTATTTGTAAAAGTCTATTAAGTGTTACCATGGTAGGGACATTGAACACGACCCTCATTTACAGTGCCCAAATCAAGAGGACATGCTCTATGTGCACACGTGTTCTTTATACATCCTGGTTTCCCATCCTTCCCACGAAATAACACCCAAGGTTCTTCAAAGCAGTCAATTGGCATCTGCATTGTCAATCAAAAGATGAATTCTTTTTTTTTTTTTTATGAGAAGTTATATCATATGGAAAAACTGCAAAGTGGAAATGAGAAATGGCTTACCAGAGTGTCCTCCTTCAGGTCCTTAGAGAAAGCAACAGGGTACCAGAAGTTCTTTAAGTTGGGATGATAAGGTGGCACTGGACCAGACACATTTAGACCTTTTCGTTTTGTTGTTTTCCTTTCAATAGTTTCTGGAGGTGGTTTTGAAGTACTAGGAGATGAATTTATGTTCTCTGTTGTTGTTATGGTGTTTCTGTCTTGTAAAAGTCTATCATTCACCAAAGTTTCCATGTATGCTAGCTTATCTAAAGTCGCACTAACCCTTTCTTCCGATATATGCATCTGCCATTTTAAGTAGAATAAATAATTAAGATCATATTCGTGTCTATTACCAATCAATCCTTCATTAAAATCGTGCCAATTCTTACCTGTTTATGTGCTTCTGCTAGCTCTTCTTGTAACTCTGCTAGATCCTTCTTCATGGTTCCAATGGATTTGTAGTCCCGGGCTAAAGGGTTTAAAACATCAACAACCTGGATTCATGTCTTAAACTTAAGATCCCAGAAGCCTAATTCATGTATGGAAGTTGAAAATTTTGTTACCTTTTCATGTAGGAGCATGATTGTAAGAAGATCTTGTCTTGCTCGCCAATCACAATACTGTATATCGTATCTAGCCACTTCAAATGCTTGATTTACATCCAAGAACTTTCCTTTACACTGTGGAAATTTAGACCTGGGATCTTCCACATCAAATAAAGTGTTCCATGAGGTTTTCTTGTCCCCCAATCCACCTCCCTCCCCACTTGTTGCTATGGCAAACACCACAAACCCTCCTCTAACACCCTATAGTCCAACACATCCAGTACAAACACAGTAACACAGATCAGTGTTAAGGGACAACTACTCTTAAGCACAAACAATTACTCATGAAGCTAACAAATACTATTATCAATACATCTTATGCAGCATACTGGTATGAACATGAATTATTTAGACTTTAGTGTCATTACTGCACCTGTAGACGATCTTATTATTTTGCACACATAAAACACCATTCATCTATCCATTCCAAGAAAGGTATACTTTGACTTATGAGGTATGATGTCACGTATCCTAGTTCTCCAATTTACAAAAGGAAAGGAAAAAAAGGTATTGGATTATTGCAACAAAAATCATGTTCAAGAACTTTAGCACTAAACTATATGATAGGTAACTAAAGTTAACTGTATAATGTCCAAATAGAACTTCCCCGTGTCCTTCTCTACAATAATTCGGACTTGCTACCCCATATTCAGTTACTAGTTTCTCACACATCCTCTAAAATTATGGTTGTCCTTATCTATCCTTCTCGGCAAAATACGAAGACAGACATGTAGAAGTTTATGTGATTGGAGGTTTAACGAGTCATGATTAGGATTCAGGCTGCAATTTCATCCACTAAACTTAGAATCAAAGAAGAAAAAACACAAACGATCTGTATCAAAATCATACATGTGTCCGGTATTAAGCATAACAGATAAGGTACCTTTTTGGTGCTCAATTTAGATGATCGAGATAGAGATATTGGAAGAGATAGAGCTGCAGCAGTAGCAATGGCGGTCATGGCGATTGGAAAATGACAAAAATTTATGGAGAAGAGAGAGAAAATTGGTGAGATTTGTAGCGAAGAAGATTATTTGAGGGAATTTGTAGATATGTGGTTTGTGTGGTGCGCGATCTCGGCTGGCCTGCCGTGCGCTGACAAGTGGAAATGGTTGAAGAGCGTCTGATTCTCTCATGGCCACTGCTTGGTATTTGCCTTCGAGAAATTGCGGGTCCCCTATATCTTGCCACCTCGGCTTTCCTGATATCTTCCTTATCGTTTTTTCTCTAATTTTTACAGTTTTGGTCCCTGTGGCATAGGGATGAGCAAATGGACCGGGGAACCGGCCGGAACCGGTACCGGAACCGGAACCGGAACCCGATGGAACCGGTCGGGCCGGGACCGGGACGTTATTTTTGTAGATTTTTGGAACCGGGAACCGGTAGGAACCGGAACCGATATAACGGGAACCGGTAGAACCGGCAAAAACCGGAACCGTATAATGCTATTTTTCAAGGACCGGTTCCAACATTTGAAGACACGACAAGAACCGGTAGGAACCGGGAACCGGAGCGATAGAACCGCCGGGCCGGTTCGGTTCTTGATTTTGGCCGAAGCCGGTTCCCGGTTCCGGTCCGGTTCGGGCCGGTTCGGTCCTTTTGCTCATCCCTATGTGGCAAATTCCTAGTTTTTGAATCTTAACACCAGCGCTCCTCATGGTTCGCATGTTCATCAATTTTGATCCTCTAGACTAATGCAGTTATATTTTTCTATTAAGTTCAATAGAAAAAGACTATTTTTCAATTGGACCAAAGTTGTTAAAAGCTATAAACTAAAGGAACCATTTCTAAAAAAAGTGAGCCCACAATTTTCACCCCCACCCCATCTCTTTGTCTAACCCGTTACTTCAGCACCGTCGACCACTCTTTCTCCTCCTACCATGCATGCCACCACTTTCATCTCCAACAACAACTCCTCCGCCTCTACAGATCTATCCTTATCCTCACTATATTTTCTCCTTTGCCTATATCACTATCCTCACTAGATCTGCTCCTCCGCCTTTATGGTTCAACATTCGACATTTTTTGCCCTTCTCTTCTCCGAGTATATATCGATTTGATTTTATCATGTTAAGTTATGGTTTTGATTTGAATTTAGCACTTTTATTTTAATTTAATCTTTTTAGAACCGGAAACAAAATAATGTATTTTGATTTTTTAATTTTCTTTAAAATTATTTTTGAATCTCTTCAAAACTAGGGATGGTGGTGGATGGTAGGATTGGCCGGAGATTGACGGTGGGTGTGGGGTTGGTCGGATATGGCGGTGGTGTAAAGGGTAAAGGGAAAGTGATAGTGTAAATAGTGGTATATGATGATGGTATACAACATAATAGTGTAGGCTCATTATTTATTTAATAATAATAATTCTTAAAAACAAAAAATAAGCATTTTAGTCCTCTCATACGTACTAATAGAGGGAGGGACTATTGTTGATGGATTTACCAATCATAATGATGATCTGTGTTAAATTTCAAAAATAGGACCAAACTTGTGCTGTATATCAAGGGACCAAACTGTAATTGACTCTAAAATAAACGTATTTTCAAAGTTGGTATTTCATGTCCAGCTAATTCTTATAGTTTTACCAATTTGACCAGATGACATAACTCAAATCAAATAATCAATTAAACTCTTAATTAAGTAAATGGATCAAAATTACACTTCAAAGTATCATATGATCCATTAATATCTTTAGATTATCTGACAAAGCAATGTTGATACATGTTATTAGGTTTGACCATAATTGATTACAAATCTCTACCATTACTACTTACATATATCTTCTAATAATACATACATACACAGTCACAAACTTCACTCCAAAACATCACAACATGCAAAATGAAAAACTTAACGATTTCACAGAGTGACCGATTGCAACAATGACGATGATGCCCTCTCAATATTCATCCCTGAAGCAAACGACGACCCCTTTGGAGTCTGAAGAGAAGAAGACGATGAGGGTGGCTGCACCGATGGTGCTAAGGTCGAGACACTGCTACTCATATACGTGCTAGTCCCAGCAACCGACCCATCTATGGCTGACCCGACCTTCGGGGCAGGTGGTTTCTCAATCTCGGTCACCCCTTCCAACATCTGAACCACTTTCCCCATCATCGGTCTTTGTGATGGTTGTTCTTGAATACACCAAAAACTCACTTCAATCACCCGCCGAATTTGATCCATATCGAATTCATGGGTCAAAATCTTCGGGTCAATAACCGAATCCATGTTTCCCTTTTCAAACTCCTCGTAAGCCCACACCGAAAACTTTTTCCGGTTGGTCCGATCCGAAACCTCAAAATTACGCCTCCCGGACACGATCTCCAACAAAACCATCCCATAACTGTAAACATCCGATTTCGAAGTAATCGGAAGATTCGCAAGCCATTCGGGAGCCAAATACCCGCGGGTCCCACGCACGCTAGTCAATGTCCGATACCGATGATCTTTCGGGTTCACGAGTTTCGCGAGCCCAAAATCGGAAACTTTCGAGTTATAACTCTCGTCTAAAAGAATGTTTTCGGGTTTTATATCACAATGAATAATACAATCCCGACATTCCTCATGTAAATACGTTATCCCGCGGGCCGTCCCTAGAGCGATATTGTATCGGGATTCCCAATTCAATTGTTGTTCCGGGACAAAAAGGAAGTTATCGAGGGACCCGTTTTTCATAAACTCGTAGACTAAAAGACGATGACGCCCCTCGGAGCAAAACCCGATTAGTCTCACGAGGTTTAAATGATGGGTGCTACTAATTGTTGCGACTTCCATACGGAATTGTTTCTCGCCTTGTTCGATTCCTTCGAGTTGTTTGACCGCAACCACGGTCCGGTTCGCGAGGACCCCACGGTAAACCGCACCGAACCCGCCCGACCCGAGCTTCTCCTTGAACCCTTTTGTGGCCCGTTGGAGGTCTTTGTATGAGAACTGGACCGGTGCACCGGATGCATACTCCAGAAGTGCATATTGGGCTGATAACACCCCTAGTTTTGGGCTGTTTTTACAACACCAGAACCATAAACCGAGTTCCGCGAGGATTAATCCTAATAACGTGCCGATAACCACCACAATTACTATCCATGGACGGAGCTTCCATCGTTTTCCGTTCTCTGAAGTGGGAGATGGGTTTGGTGTTACGGGCCCACAGACTTTGAGATAGGAGGTGCTTGGTAGCGCCGGCGACTGATACGCACTCACAAAGCTTGGGACTTTTAAGTAACACAACCCTGTGCCATCTGACAAGGAGGTGGATGCGATGCAGGAACCACTAACGAGACAATTTAATCGGCAAGCGGAAATACCGATAAAGAATACCTGAGATGATAACTCCGGTGGGTATGTCAAGAATTTAGCGTTATCGAGCTCTAACATTGTTGCGCTACCTGGGCAGTTTGCGATTTCGACCTTCCTCCGGCACCCTTTCCGACCGTCGGTGGGATCAATCGGGTCGAAATTCTGTGATGGACAGCCGCATACAGGATTTGAACCGTTGTAACTACAAATACCCAGATTGCCACAGTACCCGAATACCTGACATTGATCGCTTACAGCAGCCCATCTCATGAATTGATTGCCGGCATTACCCAATGAGGAACTGTAAATTCTCAGATTACCATCGTTGTCTAATTTGGTGAACCTGAATATATCAGGGCCTTCAGCATAATCGCTACTGTAAGCCATGATTACGGAAGTGGAAAGCATGGGATCTGAAAGAGATAGAATCCCGATTGGTTGGAGCCCTAAACTTGGTGAAGTTAGGTTAGTGTTGATGGAGGAATTCAACCCTAAAGTCCAGTAGACAATGGAATCGTTCCATCTAAGAGTTAAATTCCCAGAATTAACCAATCGAAAGGAGTACAGCCCAGAACGCAAAACATTATTCACTGTGAAATTCTGGCCAGGAAGTATGGTGTCTGAGGGATTATCGAATGTACTCCATACAGAAACGGATCCGTTTCGGAGGACGAAGTTACCTGAATCATCAAGTGCAGCTACTGTGACGCCACGACCGGCTGTATTGGACTGCCAGACGACGGAGCCGGATGAGCCGTTGACGAGACGGAGATTACCGTCGGGGAGGAAGGTGAGGGAGGCGGTGGAGTCGGCTACGCCGGCATCTCCTCCGGCTTTCCAGACTGATATGTTGTTGTAGGTGATGGCAGCGAAGTGAGCGTCGGGGGTTTCGGAGATGAAGCCGAGAGAGAAGGTCTGATTGGGTGAGTTCCATTTTTCGTTGGGGTTTGCGGCGGAGAGAGATTGACCTGGTCGGATATCGGCGGCGGCGGCGAAAGAAAACAGGATTGTTGATAGAAGTAGTTGTAGAAATAGGTTGAAGGAGATCATTCTCGGATGCTCTGGTGGTGTCTGTTGAGCATCCCAGATGAATTTGTGAAAATTTGGAGGTGGGTGGGAGTTGAAAGGGGAAGAAAGAGACGCGATGAAATGCTGATACCAGTGGGAACGAAGACTTTGACTTGGCCCTGGTATGCAGTCATCGGAAGGCTTATTCCATGTTTCATCCGTCCTCCCAAACCACACGATTGTTGAAACAACAATATTATGGAATGATTAATTATCATTAATGTCAAAAGCTAATATCACTAAAAAAACAGTTAATTTTGTAGAAAGTTTTTAGTTTGCTCGTTCTATTCTATATACATGTTTTGGATACAATAAATTTTTATACATCGTATTTAATTTATCAAATATCATTTTATGTTTATTTTGAATTAATCTTTTTTAACATCTTATTTTAAAAGTTTTTCTATTTTATTAAATTCAACATAATATTTTAATATAGTAAGAAATGAATATCGATTTCATTAATGAACTTATATTTTAATTTTAAAATTTCAAATTATATAAAAGATTAAAAAAAAAAACATTTCAATTATTATATTTTATTATTTTTTTTTATTTTCTTCTAAATTCAAAGTTTTTAAACATTTTGACATTTATACTTAACTTTTTTTTAAATAATTTATGTATTACATGGATCTCAAAACTAGTTCATAATAAAAATAAATATAATTAAAGACATTTTCCAAACAAATTTAATATATACATCCGACTTTTTGGTAATTTTGCTAATCACACATTTAACATATAAATTACTATGAAGCCAATTTAACAAACAAACAAAAAATAAATTTTAAAAAAAATGTTGGTATATTTTACGGTTTAATCGTTAATATTTTGTTTTTGGGTTAATGACCTATAAAAGTAATAAACTTTATGTATATACATTTAGTCATGAGTAAATTATAAGGATTGTACATGTGGTTGGGGGTAATTTGCATTTTTGGTCCCTAATTTGTTTTTTTTTACTTAAATCATCCTTATAGTTTCATTTTGCTGCGTGTTTGGTTCCTAACCGACTTAAAATGACAAATATACTCTTATTTATTATTTTAATTGTTTTGTTTTTTTTATTAACTTCTTAAATGAAATTTTAAAAACAAATAAATAAATAATAATTGTTTTAGATGTGGGTCCATCACCCCCACTCGTACTCGATCTCCCTCCACCCTCAACCTCGTTCTCCGCATGACGTCTTATCTTCACATAATAATTCAATACTAACCACCAACAAAAACACGAACAAAAGGATATCCAATCCACCAAAAATAAAATTGTAACGAAATCAAACCTAAATTCAAACCCTTTAATCAGAATCTAAGGCTAAGAACAAGAAGGAATCCTTGAACCAAAAGTTAAGATGAAACCTCATATGAACAATTCAGCTTGAACCAAAAGTATATGATTCAACTTGCCTTATTTCCCGTTTTTGGATTCTAGAATTTTTACAATCTCCACCATTCCCCTAAAGGCCTGACCATAATGATTTATAGTGAGATTTCCATAAAAAAGTTGCAAGTGGGTGAACTGATAGTTGTTTCATTTTTTTTCGGCAATCTGCAGTGTTCTAAAGTCTTCTCCGACATTTTATGTAGTTTTCTGTGGTTACTTGCTTCGTTTTCTCGATGGACCTGTGTAACAGCCTGAAAATTTATATAAAATTTTTCATTTAATATTTAGAAATTATAATCATGTTTTGTTTTCCAAAATTCCATTACATGGGCGCCATCAAGCCAAACCCTTCCCCTTAGAACCAGAAGTACCTAAAACATCTAACAAACTATAAGCAAACGCTTAGTGAGTTCCCAAAATACACAAAACATACAACCACTTAATACCATGCAACATATATATAGAATTGTCTTGGGCTCCCCCTATGCTCTTCACCTAGAATGCCATGGGATCCCTTCATGGTCTGATATCCAAATGTCATGGGCTCCCCCATGGTCTTTACCTGGAATGTCATGGGCTCCCCTATGGTATGATAACCAAGTGTCATTAGCTCCCCCCATGGTCTTCACATAAGTCATTATATGCCAACTAACAAAACCATTGCATATCAACTATTAAGACCACGTATCAAGTAATGGGCCGACATTGGTGCCTTCAACCCATCGGTATAATGAGAAGACTCACCTCAGTCTGCTAAAAACAATAGTTGCTTGACTACCAATCCAAAATATCATATTGTATAAATATACAAACAACCCTAATCGGTATTATGACACAACCTAATCAAGGGCCCAAAATCCTAAGTCCAAAACCCCCAATTATGGCCTAAAAGTCATTCCTTCACTAATTGGCATGTTGGGTTTTATTTAAGAACTAGTTTCAAAAACTACAAATAATGGCAAACGGAAGACTTGAGTTTTATAAATAACATAAAAACTTTATCACCCACCAAGGATCATCTTGCAAGTAGTAGAAAGATTTAAAGCACAACCATAGAAGGAAGAAGAAACAACAACATTTGATGAAATTTGGGTCCTCTAGGGGAGGCTTGGATGTTAAAGAAGATGGATGAACCCAAAAAGACACCAACAATGTGCTAACTTGATGTAATGCTAGTTACAACTCTTAAGCTTTAAGTCAAAACAAGATTGTGACTTAAAGAGAAAATGCAAGCAACAATTATCTTCAAAGTGCAAGAGTTGAGAGAATATGGAGAGGGAAGGAAGAGCCCTCGGCTTTTACTAGGAAGAGTGACATACAAATGAATCCACTCTCCATTCTTTAAAGTATAATGTTAATCCAAGAGTCCTAAATCATTAAGCACTTTAGACAATCTTGTCCCTATGCATGCACCATGCTTTGACTTCTTTTGATTAAACAAATAAGAAAACCATGCCTCTCTTTTCCCATTAGTATGGTCGGCCATATGTGGAAAAAAAAAGATTTTATATTTTATAAACTCAAAGTTTATAAGATACAAACCTTTTCTTTTCCTAAAAGACAAAAGGCTTTCCAAAGTCCAAAATATTGTACATGACTTATTAATTCATACATTATGAAATAATGTGTTACTTGTATTGTAAAATAATTATTTGCATGAAATAAATATTTTCTCGTTTTATTATAAGAGTTTATGAATATTTATTAAAATCAATTTATAATAAATAATCAATTGTATCAAGTTATTGTTAGTGTTCCCCACTTCATAGGTTATTTTCTTTGCACCTTAGATGTTAAATGCACTAACCGTATACATATATATGTCGCAATATGCTATTTGGGACTCGATTTTGCTCTAGGACTTCGTTCATGAGTATAACATCCTTATTCCAGTCTTCAATTGAATCACTCACATAAGGTGAATTCATACCCCTATGCTTTTACCATGTTTTAATTTTTTTAAGGGGGGGGGGGGGGGAAATATAAGTAAAAACACAAGGAAATCTTGTGTTATCATTCTAATAATTTCGAAACAGTTTTAAGTTCATTTCAAGCTATTTCAACTTATATAACTATTTTAAAAAGGGTTTTCAAACTACTTAAATTGTTTTATTCTTTTATAAATTCTGAAATACATGTTTATATATACAAAGATATATAATTAGGATTGAATAGGCTTAGGACTAATGTTTTCCACCTTATCTCCTGTTCCTTGTTTGGTTGTGGACTAGGGTTGGATCCATCTTCCCGACTGTTCCGTTTGATCTCAATTATACATATATATATATATATATATATATATATATATATATATATATATATATATATATATATATATGAAACTTATTTAAATAAATCTTTACCTCTTTCGTAAACATGTTGAGTAAAAGGTGTTATTCTATAAATTATTTCATATGTTATATAAACTGTTAAATTACTAAGATTTTGCTTTCATAAAGAACATACTTGTAAAGTATAATAGGTATAGTTTAGGGAACACTAATGATATCTTACTAAGTTATGAACATCATACTAATATTACTATTTAAAGTATAAATATTGTACATTACAATTACAAGGTAGTTCATACATTTTCAAAGCACAAAAGAACATATGTAGTATCTCTGTGTCTAGTTATACAGAGCTGTGAGGTATTACTTCGTGTACCATTCATGGTATAGATTTATAAGTCTTACATATTATTACCAGAGTCTCCTGTATGGAGAGCGTACGTTTGTGTATAGATCTATATGAGACTGACAATCCCGCACATTACTATTAGCTACAGTGGGACCGGTAAGTCCACGGGTGACAAATGTCATATTTTTCGACGCCTACAATACATCATGTTATACACTAGTCAAATTTAGTATGGTAATATGAACTCACAATATTATCAACTTTAGATTACTGGGTTTCCTAACTTCTAGTGGTTTTACTAAACAATAGAACTACACTACATAACTTTTCTAATAACAAGAACAAACAATTTGAAAGAGTGCCTATAATGCTTACTTTATGATTCCTTGGTTCATACATAAAGATTACATATCAATAGGATCCGATAGATATTAGACTGTGTGCTTTCCGCTTCATTTCCTGTTCCTTGTTTGGTTGTGGGCTTGGAGCAGATTCACCCAGTCTACTATCTATTTGATCTTAGTCATATATATAATCTGTATACATTAAGAAATCATAAGGGGAAACAGGTATGCGTCAGGTCATAACATAAAATACAACACAATATCTTCTATTACAAACACTTACATTTTTTATGGGACATTTTGTTGGATTAGTGTCCAAGTCCATAACTATTTTGGTATGTACTTGACCCGATTGTAAGTATGGTCCTTTCGGGTTGCCTTCACCAAAGCAACTTGATAAGATGATTTGTAGAGAAAGAGATTAATTATAATTTATTAATATATTATGTGAATAATATATTATAAGAGAAATCATATTGTTTAATTAATATTAGTTAAGAATTAATAAGAATTAATTTTGTGGCTAAATGACTTTAATTAAATAAAGGGGACTAGAACTGTCAATTGTATGATAGCTGGATATTGGGCTAATGGACTCCATAAAGGATG